GTGTACAATTCTTCATTTTATATTTTCCTTTTTGTTGTTGTTGTGACAGAAACACTATACTGATAGAGCATAGTGAAGTGCTTTTTTTTATATTTTTTGTTTTTTTTAAAAAATCTCTTTTTTATGCTTCACACCACATCTTTTTTCTCAGGGATAATATGGGAGGCTGAATTGTGAAAAATAGCCTATTTGGTTGTTTTGTTGTTTTTTGTTTTTTTGTTTTTTGACTGTTTTGAGCCCAAATTGTTTAAAGTAAATTTCAATATTGAAAATCTCTAATAAGCACTAAATATTGCTATTTATTTTTGCTTTCTGTTTTTGAAGCTAGATAATCCTTCCTGGTGTATTACCCTCACACAAACTCTGATGCTCCTGCATTTACCCAAGAATAGTGGCGTATCTATGTAGTTTGATTGACTTTTGTGCAGCTGAGTGGTGTGTGACGTTTTGCATTATATTTTGTTATAATTTTGCATCACTGTCAGATTGACATTTTTGTTTGTTTGTTCGTTTTTTACTTTTGTGTTACTTTAGTTAAAGCTATACATCCTCAACACTCAGAGGGAATATCCTCAGAAGACTTCCCACCTACATTAGCGCTCTATTGGTTCTCCTTGTCACCTTGTAATAACAGCTGCCTCCAGTAGTAAATAGTCGTTACAGAATGTGGACTGTTGTACTATTGCACTCTGACCACTGGAGGACAGTGAACACTCAGATCACCTTTGTGTCAGACCACAAACAATATAACTATTCTCAAATTCTTCTCACCTTCAAGCATTTTCACTAATAACTCTTAAGTAAAATAATGAATTTTGATAATTGTCTGCTAACTACAAATCAACAGATAGCATTTTTTTTTTAATAGTTTGCATTTAATCATAAGAAATGCACACAAATATAATTTTTTGTGCTGGTGTGAAGCCTGGAATAAATGTTGTAGTGATTTGCATTGCATTATCTCATATAATTAAAGTATGTAGCTGAATTACTGGCTTTCATGTGATGATAATAAATAGTTATAATAAATATTCAGTAAAACCTGTACCAGGTCTCTGTGTGTGTGTGTGTGTGTGTGTGTGTGTGTGTGTGTGTAGGCGAATATGTGTGTGTCATAAGATCTGCTGACTGCCTTAAGACCACAAGCATGAGCAAGCATGTCACATCTCTTTGTCCCACTGAACATCTGATAAAGGAACTGGTTTTCACAATACTAGCAACAAAAATGACATAGCTTTTCCAGATTGATCCTGTAGAGAGATTAACTTAAAAATAAATAAATAAATAAATAAATAAATAAATAAATAATAATAATAATAATAATAATAATAATAATAATAATAATAATTCCACCTGCTTTCTGAACAAACTACTCACTGTTTGTTGGCAATACTCAAAGTACAGCTGAACTAAGATCCTCAGACGTTCACTTGTAAGGTGGTACATAACTTTGAACAAGCTGATCTGAAAGTGAAGATAATCTTTCCAAATACAAAGTATGCCAGTTTTGATCACTTTTCTGAGAAAGATAATTAAACACTAGTAATAAACTCCACCACGCCTTCTTAAAGAAGTCTTTGTTAGTCCCAATTAGAACAAAGTTTTTTCTAAAATCTTGTTAAATGGAAACAGGCCTATAGTTACTGAGGGGATCAGGGTCCATGTTGTGTTTCTATAGGACTGTGTGACTGCGTGCTGACTGTGTGCTTTAAAACAAAATGAAGTGACTCGGTTTACTGCAAAGTTACTAATTATAGCCATGTTTAAATACTTTTACCATATCTGACAAGTTTCACTCTGGTTTTAAAAGCATACATAGAAAAAAAAACTACTCTGTTTAAGGCATATAATAATCTGCTTTTGTCTGTCAGTCTACTATTTAGTCATGCTTGATCTCAGCATAGAATCTAACAAGTTCTTTAAAAATATCTGGAACACAAACTTTGTCACGTTTTACACTGGTTTCCCTCCTCAAATATAGGAACGTCATGATCGAAAGATGAAGCTAGTCGGCTTCCAGTACCTGTTGCATCCCACAAGGATCCATTTTTGTTCCTCTTCTGTTTTTAATCATACGTGCTACATACATCATGCATTGCCGTTATATTTCTGAAATAGATAAACACATGTTACCATTTTTCTATCTCTGTTATTTGAATGATACACAGTTTTATCTACCTGCCACACTTGACAGTGACTGTTCTTATGATGACCCTTTTGTCTGTTTCAATGAGCTGAACTTCCTTCAACTAAACAATACCAAAACTGAAGTTATTTTATGTGGCACACCCAGCTCTATAAATATTCTAACTAAGGCATTCTATCCACATGAATTCGGACTCTATTTAATGTTTCAGTGGATAGTTTTATGTCTTTTAATAATCAAATCAACCGAGAATATTGCTACATCACAGC